TCAACAAAAAGAAAATGAGTGAGAAAGTATTGTGTTACAAGTTGCGAAAGAAAAAATTTATGTTTTTTTTTTATCTCTTTAATCCAATCTACATGTAAAAGCAAGAGTGAATTTTGTTTTTACAGCTGTATTTTTTGGTTGCTGTTTTTTTTAATTTAATTTATTTTTTTATTAGGGATATAAAATAACGATGATTTTATTCTTTGTGTCTCGTCTCTGCATTGTATAAGATTTGACGAAACAAAAGTTACGAGGAAAGCGTTATTTGAAAATGCTACTTTTTTGCATTCTTTCAATATAAAACCGGTACTTTGGTATTATCCCGTCGACTTGTACTTAATCTGTGCTAGGTTTACACAGTAAATATGATAAAGTTTGCTGTTATTTGGGCAAAAGCTACCTTTTACTTTTTGTTTTAAATGCTCAACAGCAAGGCCGTAGCCAGGATTTTTTTTCGGGGGGGGGGGATATGGTAAGAAGCAAGGACGGTTTCAGACGTGCAAAGTAGTTGAAAACATTATAACAATTATTGTTTATTCTGTTGTTTGCAAAAGTTAAACTAGTAATTAAAAAATATTACATAATAATTATTTTTCAATTAATATTACATAATAATTATAATCAATTTGTAAACAAAGTTTACAAAGACATGTGACGGGGATTTAAAGAAAATTTTTCGATTACTTTTTTAGGACAAACCGGAATATTCCGAAATATGCTTAATAAAGTTAGTTAATAAAAGGTTTGATTCGACAGTTTTTGTTTTTCTTTTTACTGAGAGGCTCAAAGAAAGACTAAAAAGTTTGAATCCCAGAATTTCGGGGTGGGATTTGTCCCGGCGCCCCCCCCCCCTGGCTACGGGCCTGGTCAACGGATATGAAAATGGTCGACGGGTACTATAGAATACCTTTACCTTTAATATTCGGAATACCTTTACCTTTTTATTAAAATCATGTAAAGAGTATTTCACAATAACTTTACATTTATATAAAAAAAACAAGATGAGAAACAAAATAAATTATGGTTCCTGTGTCGCATAAACCTTCTTTTAAGGGTATTATAACTACTAAAGAATATAAAAGTTTTGGAATATTTACCTTATTTTATATAATTTTTAGCACCAAACGAGTAAATATTTATTTTATAAAAACTTTCGATGCTATAACTTTTTTTCGCAATTTATATGTTTTAAACAAGTCTACAATTTTGCTGTCAATATTGCATTCACTACGATTTATTTATTTTTAGCAAATTAGAGGAACTCAAATTAAACAAAGATTTTATACTTAAGATTTATGTTTATTACAGGCAGAATCTTATCTTATTATCATTTATAACACTTCAAGGGTCAAACAGAAGAGTTATAATAACTTAGATATCATAAATTTAATATATTGTGACAAAGAGTGTTATAATATTTTTTTTTAAATAGTGTAAAAGGCACATTAAATAAGATTCAAACTGAATGTATTTTTTATAAGGGAAAACCATGTGTTGAACATAAAGATTTAATAATATAATTCCAATAAATTTAAGGGTTTAATACTATAAGTTTTATTTGGTCATTATTGAAAACTCCATTATAAGTAGTAATTAATGAAACATCATAAACGATATATTTAATCTTATTAAAGATTTGCGGATAGAAAATAAGGAATATGGGAGACATAAGTTTAGAAATTTACAAATAGATGGGAACTAGAGTTTGAGGTAGACCTAAGATCAGATGACTTGTTTGTGTGAAAGAGGATTTTAAAATTCCAAAAATTACTAACCCGAAGACCAATCGTAAAGAAAAGAGCAGAATGGAGGAAGGTTCTAAGGAAGGCTCTGGCCAATAAAGGGCTGTTGTGCCAATGGAATAAGAAGTTTAGGAAAATAATGCTAATTTAGAGAATAATAATGTTAGCTTAGAGGAATAATAGTATTAGTTTAGAGGAATAATAATGTTAGTTTAGAGGAATAATAATATTAGCTTAGAGTAATAATAATGTTAGCTTAGAGTAATAATAATGTTAGCTTAGAGAAATAATAATGCTAGCTTAGAGGAATAATAATGTTAGCTTAGAGTAATAATAATGTTAGTTTAGAGAATGTTAGTTTGGAGAAATAATAATGTAAGTTAAGAGAAATAATAATGTTAGTTTAGAGAAATAATAATGGTATGTCAGTGATATAAAATGCATCGTTTGAAAATAAAAGTATTTTATTTAATAGAACTTTATTATTGGAATACTTTTAAAAGAACTTCAAATCAAAATGCCTTATTCTTTCTAATAAAATATATTTTACACTCCCTATAGGTTGACTTGATGACGCGTTAAGAAACAGCTCAAATTATAATGCATAATATCGAATAAAAACTTCAATGCGCGAAGAAATCGCTCCTTTAAAAAGGTTCAAATTAAAATGTATTATTATATCTAATGAAAATTTCATCATCGGTAGAATAAATAACGCGTAAAAAAAAGTTCACATTAAAATTCCCAATTTCACATAAAAAATTGAATTATTTTATAATCATCATAGTTTACATTGCTGCGCATTGAAGAATGATTCGAAGTAATGTATTATTTCAATCAAATAAGAACGTTGTTATAGATAGAATAAATGGCGCATTAAAAAGGGTTACAGCGTGTTAACTTTTCTTCATCTAAGAATAAATAAAGGAAATGCAATAATGGCCATGTCAGATTTCGTCTAACTCGTTGACAGAACGATAAAGTTGGTTAGAACGATAAATCGATAAAAGAGCATCAACATCGTTGAATAACATGAAAAAGCGAATAGTTCTTTAAGAATTATTGGACAAGTAGTACACGGATACTCAACATACATTATGACGCTTCATAATAATCAACCATAAAACACATTATCTTGTCACATTATTTAACAAAAAAAATTAAGACTGAGAAAATGCTATTTGAAATCCTATAAAATAAAGCCTTTGATGTTTTTTAGCAAATTCTTTTTTTTATGCGGTTTTTATAATTATTTCAGTTTTTCGTGTTTATAATATTAATGAACATAGAACATTTTATTTTTTTGTTTACTAAGCGCAATAAATAAAATGCCAAAGTGTATTTGTCCCGAATAAAATTTATTGATTTCTGATTAAATGAAACTGTGCTAGTAAGGAAAATCTCTAACTGAATTGAAAAAAAAATCTTTGGTTGTTATGTTATGTTTTTTACTTATTTTTCACTGTTAAATATTAGTGAAAACAAAAACATTCCGCAATTAGAAATAAAAGGTATAGATTTACTGAAACGATTTTCTGTCTTATCCATATGAACTACAGTCACTGACTATATTATTAGACGCACTATAAGATTCTATGTAAAATTAAAATTATCAATAAATAATTATCAATCTCCTGAATAAAAACCCATTACATGTATACTTAAATCTAAAAGTATTGCGTATGAACTCGTGCAAATCATGTCATTATTAAAAAACTACAGTGCGTCTAATAATTTGATCTAATTATTATAATACACTAATATAATACCTGATTTAATAAATATTATATATTTATATAATATATCGTCTAATTTATATCATATATCGTCTGATTTCATCAATTGATACATCGTAAACAGATGCAAACCTGTTTCAGTCACGTAAAAATATTGCTGTATAGTATCACCTGATAACTAAGATTTTGCATAGAATCTTATAGTACGTCTAATAATTTGGCCAGGGTCTGTAAGTATGTAGCGGAGGTAAGTACAGAACCCCGGACTTACCGGTCCTTTTAATGAAACGTCAAGTTCTTAAAAGTATAAAAAATGGATTCAAACAAAAATGAAGACCAACATTTAAATAAGCAGCATTAAATTATCTTTAGTACACAATTTAAATAAATATGGTAGCATGTTTTTAACTGACATGTAAACATGTGTTTTTAACTTAACCAACCTCAAAGCATAACTTGGATTGCTGTTTTAACCAAAGATTCCGTTTCTAATACACACCCACCATAAAAAGACAATTGTAGTTCAAATTACGCCCATGGCTAAAATTGGGTAGAAATGCATTAAAAGCATTTTATGATAGGAGGAAAAGAAAGCGTGCTCCTTCTTACGTTGCACGGACTAGAGGAATCTTTTAAGATCAGTTATTTTCTCGTTAAAATCATATCGATTGTGAGAGAAGCAAAAAGTTTCAGTGGAGTGTTATGAGCGGGATTCTAATCACATGGGATTATATAAGTTCAAATAACTCCGTCGAAAATTATGTAATTATTATTTAATTAGTTCTATAAGGAAAAAAACAGATTTCGCAACGTCTGTTCCTTACATCATCACACAGTGAGTTTTATGTATACATTTTATTTGAAGTACCTAAAAACAGTTTTTTTTAATCTAAATAGCTTAAAATTTTGCAGTACCTTTCCTAATCTAGTACCTTATTTTGAAAGATTTTTTGACAGTACTGTTACTGTTCACAGAGAGTTGCTTTTCTATAATATCATTAAAAAATCAAAATGAAATTTGCTTCGATTTGAATTGATTGTATTAATCTGTCCATGCTATTAGGCATTATTTTCCAAGGTTTTAGTGCTGGATTTTTTTTTCCTTTTAAACTTTTCATTTTACTTACTTTAAAGTTCATTACCTATCTTTATTTAATTTCCTAAGTCATTACCTATAATTTAAAGTTCATTACCTATCTTTGGTATTTTTAGTCTACTATATGCACTTGCATTTTTAAGAAATTACTTTAGTGCTTCGACAAAAAAAAGGTGTTCCGGTTTCTACCTTTATAAAAGTCAAAAACACCCACACTTCTAATGTTTCACAATACGTGCCGGGCTGGGACATTTAGAACACTTGGTGCCAAAGCTACAGCTGACACGTCTGGGCTAATGTATGATGTACTCCCTAAGGTGGATGACCTAGGACCGAATCCCCAATCGGACAATGAGTACTGTACAATGGATGCACGATCGCTCACCCTACCACGCGAAAGAAGGAAAAAACAAAAAGAAACCTCACCAATGTCAAAGATGACCCAACAAAACACATTATAAGTGCTGTCCTTAGTTATCTGTTTACTCAGTGGCTGTGTACTGCTGGGGGGTGATTCTTGGAGACCAGCAAAACCCTCAGTTGGCTCAACAGGTAAGACTCTATGCATATTTTAAACAATCAAGGTACTGAACTGGCAGGATCTTTGACAAAGAGAAATCCATAAGAAATGTTCAAGAACATGACAAGACCATCTCTAAGCTGCCGTACTAATTATGATGAGGTTTCTAATCACCTAACTGTCACAGAAATAAAATTATTCAGAAAATAATAAAACATTCAAAATCTGCACAAAATTAGTTAAAGGACAATTGGAACAGACTAAAACAAGTCTAGCTCAAAAATCCACAAAAATATGTTCGTAATCAGAAGCAAGAAAATAATTGATCTTCTTAACTTCTCTCAGGGGTGGCAATCACGATTGGATGTCGTTATTGATACTGCCATTATTGTCTCTAATATCTCAATTTAATGATATTCAATACGATCTATTTTTTATCCTTTATTGATGAACCAATTACTGTTACACAAACAACTAAAACACAACTAGTACAACATAAAAACAAATACACAACACACACAAAATAAACTACTACTTAACTACATGATTGCTATTACGCATCTGTCTTAAATTTATTCTATATTCAACATCCACACGCTTTTCTCTACTGCTCACACGCCATCTCTAATTCAATTAAAAATCATTCCAATACAGACGCTATATTGTATTTAGGGATAATTTTAATTTCAGATATGTCAGTTGCTTAACCATAGCAGGAAAAAATTTAAAGGAATTTAACAAATTCTTCTTAATTCTCAAGCAAAAGTGATGAATTGCATTTAAATTTTCATCAACATTAGACTGAGACAAAATATTTCTCCAAACACGAAAAATTGTTTTTTTTTATTGTTTACAGAGACCAGCTGTATAGTATTTGAATTCTGGCAGAAAAAAAAGAATGAGAGAAAGTATTTAATTTACGACGCATTAGAGCAGCACAATTGGCTATTGGCGACGGTCTGGAAAACATCCCTGAAGTAGATCTGAAAAAGTACCATCACATTTTTGATCCTCAGAAGCGTCTTTACGATAAGTCCTCTGTTAGACAATAAATAAAATAAAAACAGAAAACTCTCAGAAAATTAAAACAGTGTAATTCTTTTAGATGAAAGATAATTTTAAAAAAAGCAGCAATTTAACAATCAAATGTATAGAATAAAAAATCACAAATGCATTAGGATCGAGCATGCTAACCGAAAAACAAGGGCCAGGTCAAGAAAAGCTATTTCATAATATATCACGAAAACTCGCAGCTCTGACACATACAGTATACCTAAACTTAAAATATTTCATTAAGCAAAATTTAAGTTTATAGCATAAAATATCGTTGATCCAAATTCGGTTTGTTAGATGGTAAAGAACGATTATTAGCAAAGAGCACTTTATGTAGTAACTAGGGACAAAATACTATTGACCCAATAATCAGGAATACTTAATATCTTGATATTTTTTTGAAACCAGATTAACAGCAATGATAATTGCTTGTAGTCGGAGATTATTGCAATTAGCTAGTCGTAGATTATAGCAATAATGATTGGTGCAATAAATATTTCAAAAGTTAATCTCAGTATTTACGGTTGTTTGTAATAGGTTACTCATAATGAATTACAATTCGTCCGACGCAAAATTGCATAAATAAAAAACACAACATAAAATAATAGTTGAACTAATCAATTTTTAAGTCAATCTGATAATTAAGTTTACTATAACACCGTATGAAGTCACTATAAAACCATAAATAATAAAATTCATGAAGGAAGATTAAATCGTAACTTGTAATTTAAAATATCTATTATTAAAACTTTAAACTTAAAAAACTCTTAATAGCATCTGCAGAATGACAGTCAAATCTGAAGCATATTGTAGAGATATCATCATAGAAAATTTGAGTTGTTGTTGTTCATTTACGTCGCACTAGAGCTGCAGAAAATTTGAGAAAAAAATGGGTTTACCTGCATCAACTACACAAACAAAATGCGAGACTTACCACTTTCAATAAGATTAAGATTTAAATGATTGGCGAAATACTTCCAAATTACAATACATAGAACTATAGTGCCAAACGTTTGGCGAAATGTTTTTGACTTGTGAGTATAATTACTTCCAGGAATGCTAATTCCTTAAGCAAACGCTGATTTATTGGTTTACTGATACAAAATTCATTTGCAGGCTTGTGTGCTCAATTAAGGCTTATAAACCTTTGTCAAGTAGAAGAACAGATAGCACAATACGGCAATCGTTGTTGTAGTAAGTTTACGCCGCACAAGGGTGGCTCAATGGGCTATCGGCGACGGTCTGGGAAACATCCCTGAGGATGATCCGAAGTCATGCCACCACAATTCTATTCCTCTGTAGATGAAAAGGCTCCCTTGCTTTGCTAGCTCAACGACCTGCGTACAAAGTCGAGCACTTCACGGTAGAACAGTTTAACAAGGACCGATACCGCACACCCTCTGTCCCTTTGTAGGCTGATCAAAGTGGTCACCCACCCACACATTGACAGCAGCAAATGATGCTTGACTTTCGCGTTAAACAGAGAACCGTGTTTTAAGATTTAGTCCACTGCGGGGCCACAATACAGAGAAGGACAGGACATCCAAGGTAACTGCGGGATTCGAACCACGCTATACACAGCGTTTGACAGGCGATACCGTTCGGCAAGCGGCGAGTTTAATTATTTTAATTCGCACAACAATTTTCAACATCAATCTCTGTATTGTTGCAATTTTATCACAAGCGCTGCCTTAGCACGTCGTGATCCTGATACTGGGTGCTTAAGGGTGGTGACGTAAGTAGCACTTATTTATTTTATCTCTTTATTTATCCCCTTCAGATTTATGTCTGCATTGTGGAGTCCCGCAGTGAACTGATCGCAGTGAAGCGGTATAAAACTGTAATCAAGTACTTAGTAGTAGAACACCGAAATCAAGTATCACTGCCTGTGGTCAGTAAGCGGGTGGGTGACCACTTTGATCAGGCTTGCATAGGGACCGAGGGTGTAAGGTGTCAGTCCTCATTAAACTGTTCTACCATGTAAAGTTGACTTCACACACAGGCCATCAGGCTAGCAAAGCAGAGAGGAGCCCCTCAGCCAAAGGATCAAAATTGTGAAAGCATGTCTTCGGAGTCTCCTTTGGGATGTTTCCTAGACCAACGCCAATAGCCCATTCAGCAGCTTTAGTGCGACGTAAATAAAATGTGTACCTACCTAAATTGAGGAAATTGCCTCATAAATTGTGATGACACGTCTTCGGATCATCCTCAGGGATGTTTCCCTGAACATCACCCAGTATCCCATTTTGCAGCTCCATTGCGACGCACCTATATACCAACCTATTTATTTATCTAACCATATACATATGCCAGCTTTTGTAGAGATGAAAAAAGAAAAGCTATGCAACTACATTAGCGGTACCTACAGATAAATAGTAAAGCGATGGCATACAAACTCTCATCGGTTCAGGGTAACGAATTCGAATTTCACCGTAACTTTGGGTGCAATTTTGGACTGTTCTTCGTTAATTAGTACAATCTAGCTTTTCAATATGCGTTCATCAAATTTACACACAGTATATATGCAGTTCCATTAGCTAAGAACAATAAGCCCGCATATAAACGTAGGACAGAAATAAAATGATGAAAGTTCATGTTTCGAAGCCTCTCTGCCCGGCTAGTGATGAAAAGTGAAAGTTCTGGATTCGAAACCCTTTTCCTCAACCTGGAGAGGGCTTGTAAGCCGTCTTTGTACCGGCCACAAAAGTCTACAAATGTATGTGCACCAGCAATTAAATAAATACGCAGTTTGTCCTCGCAGCTAAGGCCTGAAACTGCGACGGAGAAGATCGCAGGTTCGTGACCCGAAATATTAAAGAACCTAGCTGACAAAAAAAATACTGTACATGCACCTAATTTTAATACAATCGGTTTCATGAGTACATTTATTTTTAAGGAAAATAATTTTTCAGAACTTAATTTCTTTCAAAAAAGAAATGAATATAGTTTTCCTCTCCAAGAATGAATATTTTCATATATATTTTAGTTTAGGTTGAGTAAAGTCTCGCAGTGGATTGATAGTAAAGGCATGGTTCCCAGTAGAACACTGAAGTCAAGCATCACTGGCTACGGTCAGTTATCGGTTGGGTGACCACTTTGATCAGCCTGCGTAGGGACTGAGGGTGCGCGATATTGATCCTCGTTAAACTGTTTTACCATGTAAAGTGTTCGACTTCGCGCGCAGGTCATTGAGCTACCAAATTAGGAGAGCTGTTCCCTCTGCAGATAATCAAAATTGCGAACTCTTCGGATCATCCTCAGGGATGTCGTCGGCAATAGCCCAAAGTGAAACTCTAGTGCTACCTAACTTAAGTTCAATAATTTTCACTTCAATTATTGTTATTTTTTTATTTAAAATTGAATTTAGACTTTTCTCCATTGGAAAAAAAATTAAAGTATATTGAAAGAAAAAATATAATTATTTTTTTTTCCTTATTATTTAGTATAATAAGAAAAGGAAGAAAAAGAGGCATTTTTCAGGAGAAAAAGTTAACGCTTTCGTACCAGATTCGGACCTGGATGACCTCATTAAATAACGAAAGCTCTAGTCCTTTAGCTACCGGGGGTCTCATTTTAATATATTTTACTTTATATCCAACTCTGTAAGGCTGACACAATTCTGTCTCTTATGACTATCAATGTTCAACTCCGTAGCCTTGTACTTTTGAATCCAACCCAGAAGATAAGAGAACTCATGGATCAAGCGTTTGGACAAACTAGCTTTCGTAAAGGACTTTTTGATGGAACTTACCCGAATTCGCATTACATGGAGAGGAAAGCAACGAAATCCTTCCACAGTTAGCCTGATGGTAAGGGAACCCATGATCCGTATACCACAGAGGATATTCTTACGACAGTATTGTGGTTGGTGCGAGTCGAGAGCAGAATTCGTATCTATATTTGTTTTTATATTGAAACGAGGAGTCACGGTGAGCGCTCTCCTCCCCCGATGAGGTCCCCAGGTTCGTATCCCAGTAGTGGCAGGATAATACGAATTCTGTTCCGATTGTTATCGACCACAGTATTGACGTAAAAATACGCTTAGTGGTTGATGGATCATAGGTTATAGTTCCCTTGCTGTGAGATCGTGATAAATTTTCATGGTTTAATTGTGAGAAAATTTTTATGGTTTTCCTCTCCATGTAACGCAAATGGGGTTTAGTTCCATCAAAAACTCTCTTCTCGAAAACATTTTGCTGGTATATGCTACTCTTTTCAACCAAAACTGATTAAAATTATTTTAATATAATTCCCGGCTTTTGCATTTTTTATCAGCCCAAACAATGCATAATCGACGTAACTTAACAAATATTAATAGATTAGATCTCAATTTTTTTTCATTTTTTACTAAACTGTGACTTTTATTTAACAGATCATTCGCGTCATTTTCAAAATTATCATAAGGTCCCTTGGTAAAGCTGGACTATACTCAGCACAAAATTTGAATAGAACGCTTGAATTTTTATTTGGCATTAAAAAGCAGTCTCATAAATATATATTTCCAAAACTATTATGGAGGGTAACTTAATCCTAACAGTCACAGAAGTACTGTACCTGATTCTTAGCATTAATAAAAGAAATTACATACTGAATGATAAAAAACTTTCTTATGTAAGAAAATTTACAAAAATAGAACAGGAAGCATTTTCCAAAGTAGTACTAAACTTCACCTATCAGTCAACGATCATTATTAAAAATGCATACTGGGCGTTAGAAAGCCTTTTTATGTAAAATACAAAAAGCACTTGTCGAAGTTTAACTAAAATCTACCAACTGTAATCATTTCATAAGTTATAAGAAAATTGCAGGCTGAGTACTAAGAAGTGTTCTTTTTTTTTCATACAAATAGAACCTTCGAAGAACAGCATTAATCATAATCAATTTTAAAAAATATAAATCGGACGGTAAGAGGGAAATTCTATCTAAAATTATAGACCAAAATGAATTCTAAAGCCTTAAATCTTCCGGCATCAAACAAATATTTCTTTTGAATCCTTTTGAAAAATATGTTAAACAAGACAATGTGTTACCGAAAATT